AACAGTCCATCACGGTTAGTACTGTATGAAATAACTTTCACATTATAGCTCCAACAGCCTACAATTAACTTTAACCTTACAGCCGAGTGATAATGACTGAAGTGCAGACTTCAGTGATTAAATGAACAGCCTTCCAACCAGTCTAGTCAACACGAAAGAAATTATGCTAGACAAGTCCATTTTTCCCTGATGAATTAAACTATAATTAGTATTGATAAACGCAGTATGTCCTCAGAGTAATGGAACATTTTTCTCCCATTGAATTACTCGGGTAATACCAAATAAGAGACTAAGCATTTCTAGCTGTTGAACTAGAAGCCATGGTTCCACCTTTGAGGTGTGCAGGACAAATGTAATTTTATATGTATTTAGTAAGCACAGAGTGAACAATGCATCCACTTTGGATATTACTTTCATGCTGACTTTTACTAAGTACAGATGTGAGTATAGCAGCATGTTCCTTTGCAGTGCTTCAGTATGTGAAAACAAGCACTCGTGAATGTATTTGGGACTCTAAATACAATACTTACGAAATAAGCTATTTTTAAAAGGATATATCCAAGAAATTTTGGCTTTTTATTTTTTTTTAATTTCATAGAGCAAGCTGTTCAAATGTGAATTTGCATTTATTCTCAGAAGTAGTCCAAAAATGTTGCTTACAATGAGTTATGCAAAAGCTGAGGAATAAAGAAACAGATTGGAGATCAAACGTTCAATATGACATATGGAAAGTTTCCAGTCCCAAGATTGGGCTGCTCAGGGAATACATTGAATAGATATATTGTAAAATATAATATCAAGTAGGGTATATGAATAGGAAGGGTTTAGATGGATGTGGGCCAAATGCTGGCAAATGGAACTAGATTTATTTGGATATCTGGTCCCTTTGGATGAGTTGGACCAAAGGGTCTGTCTCCATGCTGTATATCTCTATAACTCTAAGTCTTCAATGGCTACTTCATTCGGTAAACCACGTAGTCAATTTAACTATGTTCTTCTTGTAACCTTCACTGACAGATAGAGTCATAGTTATACGGCATGGAAACAGACCTTTCAGTTCAACTCATCCATGCTGACCAGATATCCTAAATTAATCTAGTCCCATTTGCCAGCATTTGGCCCATATCCCTCTAAACCTTTCCTTTTCATATACCTTTCTATTCCTTATAAATGTTGTATTTGTACCCGTTTCCACCACTTCCTCTGGCAGCTCAGTCCATACACACACCACCCTCTGCATGAAAAAGTTACCCTTAGGTCCCTTTTATATCTTTCCCCTTTCACCTTAAAGCTATGCCCTCTAGACTTGGACTCCCCCACCTCTGGAAAAAACACCTTGGCTATTCACCTTATTCATGCCCCTCATGATTTTATAAACCTCTATAAGATTGCCCCTCAGCCTCTGAGGCGCCAGGGAAAATAAGTCCAGCCTATTCAGCCTCTCCCTATAGTTCAAATTCTCCAACCCTGGTAACATTCTTGTAAATCTTTACTGAACTCTTTCAAGTTTAACAACATCTTTCCCATAGCAGGAAAATCACAATTGAACACAATATTCCAAAAGGGGCCTAACCAATGTCCTGTACAACTGCAACATAACATTCCAATTCCTATACTCAATGCATTGACCAATAAAGGCAAGTGTACCAAATGCCTTCCTCACTACCCTGTCTACCTGTGACTCCACCTTCAAGGAACAATGAACTTGTACCCTAAGGTCTCTTTGTTCAGCAACACTCCCCAGGATACTACCATTAAGTGTATATGTCATGGATAACACAGTGTGGAGCTGGAGGAGCACAGCAGGCCAGGCAGCGTCAGAGGAGCAGGAAAATTGACATTTCGTGTCGGGACCCTTCTGAAGAAGGTCCTCTGATGCTGCCTGGCCTGCTGTGTTCCTCCAGCTCCACACTGTGTTATCTCTGACTCCAGCATCTGCAGTTCTTACTATCTGAGTGTATATGTCATGCCCTGATTTGCCTTATCAAAATGCAACACCTCACATTTATCTAAATTAAACTCTGTCAGCCGCTCCTCGGCCCTTTGGCCCATCTGATCAAGGTTCTGTTGTACTCCAAAATTGCCTTCTTCACCGTCTACTACACCACCTATCTTGGTGTCATCTAAAAACTTACTAAGCATTCCTCCTACATTCATATCCAAATCATTTGTATAAATGACAAAAAGAAGTGGACCTAGCATCAATCCTTGCGGTATACCGCTGGTCACAGGCCTCCAGTCTGAAAAACAACCTTCCACCACCACCCTCTGTCTCCTACCTTCAAGTCAATATTGTATCCAAACGGCTTGCTCTGCCGGGATTCTATGTGATTAAACATGGCTAACCAGTCTACGGTGCAGAACCTTGTCAAACACCTTGCTGAAGTCTATATAGACAACATCCACCGCTCTGCCTTCAATCTTCTTTGTCACTTCTTCAAAAAACTCAATCAAGTTAGTGAGACACGATTTCCCACGTATAAAGTCATGTTGACTAGCCCTAATCAGTCCTTGCCTTTGCAAATACATGTAAATCCTGTCCCTCAGAATCCTCTCCAACAACCTAGCCACCACTGACATAAGGCTCACCATTCTACAGTTCCCTGACCTTTCCTTACCACCTTTCTTAAATAATGGCACCATGCTAGCCAACCTCCAGTATTCTGGCACCTCAGCCATGATTATCGATGATACAAATATCTCAGCAGAGGCCCAGCAATCACTCCAGATGCTCAACAACGTGACGGTATTGATGATTCAAGATAAAAACACAACGCATTTTCTGTAAAAGTTCTGGCAGCCAATTACAGATCAGGGGAATGAATCTGTAAACTATACTTCAATTGCAATAAAAATAAGTTGGCTATTTAAGAATAGAAGATAAAATCAGCACACATCCCTAGTTGTACTCTCACCTGGATGTGACCTAGCAGTTGTCAGCTGTGCCAAATACCATTCATGAGAACTGGATTAATTTTCGATGATACAGCAACATGAAAACTCTAATTCTGGGATACAGACACATAACTGGTCTTTGTGTTTCCTATCAGGTGCAACACTGTATCTCCGGCAAAGGCACTTCTTTCTCCTTCTTATTTCAGAAAGAAAACAAGATCCTTTTCTGAGGATCAGAAGACCATATGACTTCAGTTTTCCATGAAAGGAATGTCACAGAGTGTGAGACACAATAAGAGAGCCATGGAGAGAAAGAGATGAACACGATGAGAAAAAGAGAGTGAGGGAATCACATGCAGGAGAGAAAAAGTATGCAAGAGTTTTGCAGAAAGAGGCCAAAGATATTTATTATTAATAGAGATCAATTGGAATGCCACAAACCAAAATGAAATCTGATATGTGCAGTGCCAACAGACCCATTCTATACTACCTCCACCTCTCCAGGGATACACCAATTAGCCAAATCCCACATTCTACTCCCAGTTATGCTAAACCTCAGCTTTGTCCTCACAGTTCTGACAGATTGCAGGCTCTCCTGCAATGATGTTGGTGCAAGAGGACTCTATGCTGCCAAAGGCACAACTCTCCAAGTTCAATAATGTGAAACAGCAGGACACCTGAAGCCCAGTTCTGCCAAATCCCAAGAGCATTCAAAATTATTTTCAAATACATTGAACTGCTCCCAAGTGCAATTAAATTCCACTACCCCAGTCCCATTAATTAGCAGATACCTACCTCCCACCGTGTACGCAACATTTCACTGTCTATCCTCAGATTTATACAAGGTATGGGATAAAATGGTAGAGAAAAATCTGTATAAATAAATCTTATTGAATTACAAATAGTTGCAAAGCTCAATCTCCAGAAATATCTGAAAATATTATTTAACAAAAATGAAATTTAATCTATTCTATCTCTTTAATTCAATGACTTTGGATTCCTCCAATATACACAATTGGTGTACAATAGCCAACAAACAGTGCTACTGGGGATCCATTAGTGTAAATAACAGGCATAGGGACCAAAACAAAATCTGGGTACAAAATCAAGAGTTTCATGGCGAATGGTAGGGCCTTAAGGAGTGTAGTGAAACAGAGGGACCTTGGAGTGCAGGTGCACGGTTCTGAAAGTGGAGTCACACGGCAGTGAAGATGGCGTTTGGCACACTAGTCTTCATCAGTCAGGGCACTAAGTACAGAAGTTGGGAGGTTATGTTGCAGTCATACAGCATGTTGGTGAAGCCACTCTTGGAGTACTGTGTTGAGTTTTGGTCACCTTGCTATAGGATGTTATTAAACTGGAAAGAGTGCAGAAGAAATTTACAAGGATGTTGCCAGGACTCAAGGGACTGAGTTAAAGGGAGAGGTTTGTCAAGCTAGGACTTTTTTCTTTAGAGTGTAGGAGACTGAGGGGGGATCTTATAGAAGTGTCTAAGATCACAAGAGGCCTGGATAAGGTGAATGCACACAGTCTTTTTCCCAGGGGTGGGGAATCGAGGACAAGAGGGCATCAGTTTAAGGTAAGAGGGGAAAGAATGCATGGGAACCTGAGGAGCAACTTTTTTTAAGGAGGGTGGTACGCATATGGAATGATTTTCCAGCAGGAGTGGTTGAGGCGGGTACATTAACAATATTTAAAAGGTATTTGGATGAATATATGGATAGGAAAGGTTTAGAAGGATATGGGCCAAGCACAGTGAAATAGGATTGACGTGGATGGACATTTTGGTCGGCATGGACCAGTTTGGGCCGAAGGAAACAGTATTTGTAAGTATGCTTTTGCTAGGGAAAACTAAAATGTCTAAACCCAAGGTAAATGCATTTAAATTACAGTGGACTGAATTAGACAGTAACATTTGAATATCTTTACTCCATTTTGACAGAGCAGCTAAAAGACTAACAATGTAAACCTTGTTCCATTCTTTGCTTTCTTGAAGAGGAAAGGTTTCCTGTCAGTTTGTGTTTTCACCAAAACTGCTCGTGCATGATAAATGTTCAACTGTTGCTTTTGCACAAATAAGGCAAAGGTTATGATACGTTACTCACCTATTGATTTCCTTTGATCTTCACATTGGCTCACATGAGGAAACCTCAATATTTCTTTCCACTTTTTACTTTTACCCTTGCGCTTTCCTCCACCACCTACACAAACAGAAAGATGTTGAGATACAAACCCAAAGCAAAGGTGCTTACAGTCATTTCAAAAAGTTACTTGCAAAAATTGTGAGCTTCTTTCCATTATCCTTGTAGAACCCTCTCTGTGCTGCAAAAGCTATTTTTTTTTCTAACTATTTGCACAAAGTGACATGTCTGTTACTTTCTCCTTCATTCGTTGCTCAACTGAAATCAAGAGACAATTGCCAACATAATTGCAGGTTCTATCGCTTTAGCAATGAGCTACAAAACACACCTAAATTTATACAATTCAAAATATTAACTGAGAAAACATGTTGAACTTCAAGCAGTGACTGCAGGGTCTGAGTACAGGAAAAAAAAGTCAAGGCTGACATTCCAGTGCAGTTTTGAGGCAGTACTGCAGATACATTGTCTTTCAGATGAGATGCTAAACTGAGACTCCAGCTGCCTGCTTGAGTAAACATAAAAGATTTCATGATGCTACTTTGTGGAAAATTAGGGAAGCTTTCCTTGGTCAGTATTGATCCCACAATGAACTTCAGAAAAGAGTAAATTATCTGGTTATCACGTTGCTGCTTATGGGTGTTACTGCAAATCCTACATTACAACAGTGGCTACTATTCAAACATATTCATTGTCTGCAAAGCACTTTGGGATGTTTGGCAGTTGTGTAAAGTACTGTATAAATGCAATTTTATTTTTTCAAAAAAAGGCCATCTAGCCTCTTCTTGGTAATGGACCTCAATTTTAAGGTAAAATCCCAGATAAGAGATTAGCATGTAAAATTAAAGCTCATGGGATTGCAGTGTATTGACACGGATAGGGAACTGGTTGGCAGACAGGAAACAGTATAGCAATGAAAGGGTCTTTTCTGATTGGCAGGCAGTGATTAGTGGGGTACTGCAGGGATGAGTGCTAGGACCCCAGCTATTCATAATATAATGATTTAGATGAGGACAAGTGTAATCGATTCAAATTTGCAGATGACACAAAGCAGGGTGGGAGGGTGAACTGTGAGAAGGATGCAGAGATGCTTCAGTGCAATTTGGACAAGTTGAGTGAGTAAGCAAATGCATGGCAAATGAAGTATACTGTAGATAAATGTAAGGCTGTCTACTTTGCTAGCAAAACAGGAAGGCAGATTGTTAACAGAATGGTAATAGATTGGTGAAGTGGAGGTGCAAGGGGGAGGGGGACCTGAGTATCCGTGTACACCAGTTGCTTGAAAGTAAGCACGGAGGTGCAGCAGGCGGCGAAGAAGACAAATAGCACACTGGTGTTCGTAGTAAGCAAATTCAAATACAGGAGCAAGGATATCTTGCTGCAATTGTGCAGGGCCCTGGTGAGACCACACTTGGAGTATTGTGTGCAGTTATGGTCTCCTTGTTTCCTTACTCCTCAAGGATGTTCTGACTCTGGATGGAGTATAATCGAGGTTTACTAGCTTGATTCCTGGGATAGCAGGACTGACAGAGACTGGATCAGTTAGAATTCCCTGGAGTTTAGAAGAATGAGTGGGATCTCATTGAAACCTATAAAATTCTAACAGCAAAAGGCACAGCAAACACAGGAAGGACGTTTCCAATGACTGGGAACAGGGTACCGAGCTTGATGATCAGCCATGATTACACTGAATGACAGAGCAGACTCAAAAGACCTGAACTGTCTACTCGCAGAATCCCAACTCTGCAGATAGAGGCTATTTGGCCCATTGAGTCTGCACCAATCCTCTGAACAGCATCCCAACCAGACCCATGTCACTAGCCCAATTCCTGTAACTCCACATTAACCATGCACCCTGGACACCACAAACAAATTTAGCATGGCCAATCCACCTAACCTGCACATCTTTGAACTGTGGGAGGAAACCAGAGCACCAGGTGATAACCCACGCAGACACAGGGAGGATGTACAAACTCCACACAGTCACCCTAGGCTGGAATTGAACCCGAGCCCCTGGCACTGAATGGCATTTGCCATTGCATTCCTGTTCCTACTTTCTACATTTCTAATTTACTGGAACTATTTACTGAATCAAGTTAACTTTGGTCTTGTTGAAGACAGACTTTTTTTGAAGCTTCTCGTATTGCACTCATCAGGTGGCCAACTTCTACCAATCAGAGTCCATTTACCAATCAGCACTCACTTCTCATACAGTATAAAATATTGTTCTCCTTTACACGAGTATTCCTGAAGATGTTCAGATCAATGCAAGATGGAAAGCTTTGGCAAAAGCTATAGTTTTTCAACAATACTCAAGTTCTTTATAGCCAAAGGACTAGAAATTAGACTTTGTCAATATCACAACGTTTTAGTATACTAAAGAACACCATTTCTTACCAGAAAAGAGGAAAAGGAAACTGGGAAATTAGGTTAACTGATAGGTGAGTAGGGTTGTAGTAGCAGACATTTACGGAGGCATTTCATAACACTTGGCAAACATACGTTCCAGTGAGAAGCAATGACTCTAGAGGCAGGATGTGCTGTGATAAGGAGAGAAAATACTGGAGAAACTTAGCAGGTCTGGCATCATCTATGGAGACAGAAACAGAATTAACGTTGAGTCCAATACGACTTCTTCAGAGCAGTTTCTGAACTGATCTGTTGAATTTCTCCAACATTTCCTCTGTTAATTCAGATTTCCAGAATCTGCAGTATTTTGATTTCAAATTGTACTCTCTGTGGCTAATCCCACAAAGACTTTTGACAGGTCAGAGGGTTTTCTTTTTTAAACTATGTCCAAAAACATTAATAAATAGAGAAATTAGAGTAGGAGAGAAAATGAGCTGAAAACATAAACAACGTAAGAGTTTTGACAGACATTTAGAAAGAAAAATGGTAATTAGAGTGAGTGTTAGTCCCCAAGGAATTACAGGAAAGTAAGGGAATGGCAGATAAGCTGAACAGACATTTTGCATCTGTCTCCACTGTAGAGAACACAAATAACATAGCAGAGATAGTTGTGAACCAGGAGTTAGGAGGGACTTAAAACACACACGATCACCAGGGAAAATTATTAGAACTAAAAGCTAACAAATCACATGGTCCTGTTGGACACCATCCGAGGATCTTAAAAGTAGTGACGGCTGAGATTTGGTTTCAATTTCTCAAAATTGCCTAAATTCTGGAAAGCTCACACTGGATTGGAAATAATGAAATCATGAATGTAACTTCTCCTCAAACTTCTCCTTCAAAAAGGAGACAGACAGAAAGCTAGAAATTATTAGTTAGCTCAACATCTGTCATAAAGAAAATGTTTACAGCTATTATGGAGATAATATAATATAATAACAATGTGCAGGGTATACAGGAAACCTCAATGCATTCAGGCAGAATTAACGTAGCTTTGCGAAAGGCTTATTGTGTTTGACTTGTTTATTACAGTTCTTTGAGGAATGAACAAGCAATATGACTGAAGGGAAACCCGTGAACATGTCATACTTAGATTTCCATAAAGCCTTGGCAAGGTGCCACATCAAAAGGTTACTCTACAAAATAAGAGATCATGGTGTAGGGAGTAACATTTTAGCATGGGTAAAAGGTTTACTAGCTAACAACAAAGGAAGATAGATAAAATGGGCAAAATGTAACTAGTGACAGATCACAGAGATCAATGCTGGGATCTTAACTATTTACAATCAATATCAATAACTTGGATGAAAGGGCTGAATGTGCACTGACTAAATTTGCTCATGATACAAAGATAGATAGGAAAGTAAGTTAAGTTATGAAAAAGACATAAGGTGTTTGCAAATGAATACAAATGGGTTAAGTGAATGGGCAAAGATTTGACAGATGGAGTATAATTTGGGGGTAAATGTAAACATGTCCAGTTGAGCAGGAACTGTAGCATATTATTTAAATGGAGAGACTGTAGACCCTGGAAATACAGAGTGATCTGAATGTGCTGGTATATGAATCACACGATGACAATGCGCAGCTAGAGCAGGTGATTAGGAAGGCAAATAGAATGTTGTTATTTATTGCAAGGGGAATGGAATACAGATGCAAGGAGGTTTTGCTACAGTTGTGTGGGGAATAGTGCAATCACTTTTACAGCACTCTGCACAGTCAGGTCTCATCTTTTAAAAGACATAATTGCATTAGTAGCAGTTTAGAGCATGTTCACTCAGCTGTTTCTTGAGATGAAGGGGCTATCAGAGGAGAAAATGTTTGACAGGTTGGATCTGTATCCATTGGAGCTTCAACGAATGAAAAGTGATCTATTGAAACGTACAAGTGCCTGAGGGGACTTGTTAGGGTGGATGCTGAAAGGATGTTTTCCTTTGTAGGAGAGACAAGAACTGTTTACAACTAAGTGGTTTCCTATTTAAGATGGGGATGAGGAGATTTGTTTTTACCCAGAAGCTTGTTTATGTAACTCATTTCCACAGACAGAGTGGGGGACAGGGACACTGAACATTTTTAGGAGTGAGTTAGATTAACTCCCCTGTCATTCAAGAATCTAAGGGCATGAGGGGTTACTTTGAAACTGGAGTTGAGGCCACAATCAGGTCAGTTATAACTTTACTGAATGGCAGAGCAGACCTGAAGCCAAATGAATCATTCCTGCTCTTAATTCACAAGTTGCTATGTTTGCATTGAACACTCATGGCTTCATTAATTTTCTTCAGCTACTTTACAAGAATTGTAAACACGCTTTGTTTTTATATTTCACAGCAAAATATATCTATACAAATACGAACAACATCTATCCTGGTGTAAGAATCTCTACAATCAAACCTGTATCATTCAATCAAATGCAGCCTGTCTCATCAGTAAGCAATCACTTCCAACAGTTATCAGATTACCATGCTGAAAATTCCTTCAGTCAGAATGAAAATTTAGTTCCCCAGATGGCTTTTAGTTTCTCCATTGAAAAGACTGGAATGCTTCCAGGTCTAGTGTCTATACAAAGAGTTAGTTAACAGTAGTTTAGTTGAGCCAATAAAGGTGTTATAATTGGCTTCAATGTTCCTGTATCAATCTACCTAGCTCCTCCTCAC